CCATGCAGACGGACGCCACGAAACGACATCCCACTCAAGGATCGCGACAAAGGCCATTCCTCGCCATCCGTCGAGCATCCGGATTAAGTCGCCGTGACACAAACCAGAAATCCACCGCCGTTCCCTCGTTCTCAAGCTGCGCGATCAACTCTCCGATCTCAAGGTAGAACCCGGCATAAGGCACATCTCCTCCATTGTTGGTCCGCCACCCATTTGTGATCCAGTGAGGCATATACTCTGTAATCCCACTCACCACTCGCTCCGAGTCTGACTTCACCACCAGCCGTTGCACTGGCGTGCAGCTGGGACGTTCCTGGCGAATGCGTAGACCGTCACGCAAGGCCCGACAACAGGCGCTGAGCTCGGACATAATCCTGGTGCGTGGGCCCGGGTACGAGTCTAATGCAGTCGAGACGTTGTTCGGATTGCCATATCCCCAGAATACACCCACCGATGCGCGGCCGGTCGCATGGTTTCTCAGGCAGTCGCCGCTGATGGCGACCACCAAGGTGGTGCGGTCCGGGGCGCGGCCAGTGCGTGGACCACCGGGGCTAGCTATATGCACCCAGCGTCCGGACTTGTATTCGATGCGACTGACGCCATTGTTGTACAAGGCTTGATGGTCAAGACGTCGGGGGAGAACAGGCTCGTCGATTTCGACCATGGCGTCACAGTCTTCTTTCATCCGAGGTTAAAGTAAAGCAAGGCCTGGTAAATTCGTGCTTTGAGAACGTGTGACGAAAGTTGGTGTATTGCTAGAGCCACGATCGAGATCCTATATTTACAATCAACTTGTCAATTGAGCTACCTTGGCTGATGGACTTGGAGTCAGACCGCGAAGAGAGGCGAGGTGGCTGGTGATATGTGGCATGCGTCGAGACAGAGCTTCAGCACCAAAAATGAGGACGAGCAACGGTGCCTCTTCAGTTGATAGAGTGTCAAAACGAAAAGTTGTGGATGAGAAGAACGAAGGTGTAAGACGCGTGGTAGGAAAACGCGAGATGGGAAGCGTTGGCATAACAAAACAGGAAAGAGGGGGCGGACACAGCGTTTGGTGAATGTATCATGGATGCCGGTTGGCTCCAACTGAAATGGCCATCATCAATGTCCTTTGTCTCAACATTTCAATGAACAGGTATCTCTAATTCTCAACATTATATACAAGATCAGATTTACAGCAACTCATTCTGCCCGCAGAAGAATCACTTAGCAGTTTCACTCTCCCACATTCCGACATGTTCCTCACGCAATCCACCACCAGACCCGCTCCAGCCAGTTGCGCGGCTTGCGCTCAAAGTCGTTCTCACAGAGTTGATCTATCTCGTCCTTGCCAGTGAACACATCGACCTCCGACACCTTTGTCATCCACGGAGTCCGATACCACAGCTTGTGACCAACGTAGAAGACCAGGAAGAAGACAATGCCAATGTAAGAGACCAGGAAATCCGCCGCTGAGAAATTACCCGGGAAGAAGACAGCATAACCATTGGTGAGGGTCAGCAAGGTCACCATGAAGATCACATAGTATGTACCGTAAGGCTGAAGGGTAGTCTTGAACGGCAGTGAATCAAGCATGCCATGGAAGTCCATTGCCTTGCGAAAACGCTGCATTCACGTTAGCACAGATCCGGTCAAATGTTCGTCGCGATTGTAAAGAGCTTACCAAGTACGCAATGCCAACCAAGATCCAGCTGATGAAGCCACCGACAGTGGTAAGGTTGGTGAACCAGTAGAAGACGTTTGCACCAGAGTTAGATAGATTGAGGAACGACAACAGTCCCACAACCCAAGTAGCTAGGACAGCCACCCATGGTACTCCGTTCTTATTGCAGCGGGTAAACACTTGAGGTGCCTGGCCCCCGCAAGCGAGCGAGTATAGCGTTCTGGACCCAGCGAAAAGCCAGGCGTTGCCCGATGACCAGGCAGAAGTCAAGATGGCTGCGTTGATGACATGATTCAAGCCCGAGATTCCTGCATTCTGAATGGCAATCACAAACGGACTTGCACTGGCAGTGGAGCTGCCGCTGGCCACGGCTGACAGGAGATCTGGATCATTGTAGGCCACAGTAACACCAATGACCAAAGAGCCCAGGACATAAAAGGTAAAGATCCGATAGATGAAACGATTGGTGGCCTTGGGAATGTTGCGACGAGGGGCTTCAACCTCGCCCGCAGCCGTGGTGATCAACTCGGGAGAGAAGATGAATGAGAAACCAGACTTGATGAACGCAGTCCAGAAAGCCAAGAAGCGACCGGTGTTTCCGTCGACTAAGTACGGCTTGAAAGCGCCTGGGTGCTGCCAGTAGCGGAAGCCCAACCGATCATGGTTGGGACCCCCTCCAAAGAAAAGGACAATCCCCAAGATAATGAGCCCAATGATGGCGATGATCTTGAGAGCGGCAAACCAGAACTCGGCTTCTCCATACCAAGAGACAGCAACAATATTGAGGAGCAAAATGACTGAGCAACTGTTAGACGAGGAAGTTAACTCTAATAGTAAGGGCGAGGACTATACCGATGAGAACGATTGCAATCCATACGCCCACGTTGACTGAAGTGGTCCAGTATTCTATGATGATTCCTGCTGCCGTGACCTCACTTGCCAATAACATAGCAAATGAATACCTGCAATCAAACCATGAATACCATGTACGAAGAAACAAAGATGATAATCGATCTTACCAATAGTTATAGCCTGAAATCAGTTAGCACTCGCTCACCCAACTAGTCTGGCAGTTTGGGGTAAAGTAGGACATACCAGCAGCAAAGCCGAGACTAGGCTCAGTATAGCGGCCAATGATGTATGGCACGGAGATCCCCTTGATGGGAAGATAGGTGGTCATTTCACCCAGCATGTTCATCACGAACCAAACAACTGACGACATGGCCAAGTATCCCATAAAAAGCGGTGCTGGACCGACCGTGGAAAGAGTCGAGCCTGACCCGACGAAGAGACCGGTTCCAATACATCCACCGATGGCGATCAGTTGCAGCTGGCGGGACGAGAGTCCCCGATGGGTCTCCGTGTTGGGACCTAGGTGGACCTCTCCCTTGAGGGCCTCTGGATCTTCATAGTTGTCGACGTTGGGAGATTTGTCTTCATATTTGACCTCCTCAGAAAACTTGGAGGTAGGAGCGGAGGCCATGATGTGCTAGCCAGGAAGACAGGAAGATCGATTTGAATGCCTTGAAGACCAAATGCCTGGTGACTAGGGCCATTTTATAAGACGGCTGCTGAAGCGGGAGGGAGCACGACATCCCCAGAAGGCAATTCTGGCCGCGCTTATCAATATCAATTATCATCTATGATAATTTTACCTCAAAGTTTAAGCCAGAAATCGCCTGCATGACGCCCCTAGGGAAGTGGCGATTGGCCTAGATGTGGTCGGGGTGAGCGGTTTGTGTGGGGATAGGCACCTTATCTCCCTGGGTTGCTCTTTTGCTATACGAATGAGAAGGCAAAAGAGTTTGGGTGGGAGTGATCAAACCCAGTTCCTGCTTATCTCTCCCGGGGCGGAGACGGGCTGATGCAATCACTGCATGGCGCGCGATAGTCAGCCACTATGCTCGGCCTGATTTATCTGATCTATACTGAGTATTGAAGTCTATAACAAGGCAGGAGATATTGTGCATGTATAAAGATTTCTATGAATGATCTTCGCGGCAGCGATGAATTGATGTCAGATCAGCCTCGTGGCATTCCACTGTGGAAATCCGGGGTCGAAACTCCGCATTCAATTGAATCCACCTCATGGTACGGTAGTGAAGTAGTTTACTGTCAACGAGGAGTTTATGTTACCTAATGGTTTGGAGAAACAGTCCCTGGCCTGCCGAAGCTTGACCCATTGTTCATATCCCGCTAGACTGGATCGGGCCTAGATTGCAGCCCTCCGGGCCGATGGTCGAACTCTCACATCTCGTTGCCTGAGATTTCAGGAGAACCGGCTGTGGCAAGCCGGCTCTTACATCCTACAGATGAAGTTACAACTACAGCACTACCCCTTCTCTCTTGAGAGCTGTATATTCTCCTATATGACATGAAAGACACAATAGGCATATATTTTTCATATTGTACAGCAGACCTTTTCACGCACTTTCTTCTCTCTCTCTCTCTTTTGAAGAGATGCTGGTATACCAACGAGTGTCATCTCTCGCTTGACCGGCCCGGTCAACCTGCTGTTGCTGCGCAGGTGGGGCTTCCGACCACCGGCCCGTCGACCGGGCAATAGCCTGGATACTGATACTTGATGCTGCAGTGTCCTGAATGGTGCTTGTGTTGACTATAGAGCCTCACAAAAGGGGCCAGTCACCACTGTGTCTGCAGTGTTTCAAAGATAAGAATTTCAGTCGTGGAATCCTGGGATCTTAGGTTCTTAGCTATCTTAAATTTGGTAGAACAGGGAAAGCCTGGTAGAATCTCGAATCCCTCAGAGATTCGCCTCCCTCGTCGCTTTCTGCCACAATTTGACTTTCTCGGGGGTTTTCCCCGGTGGCAATTGTTGTAGTCGATCTACCCCAGAAAGCTACGGAGTAAGCTGTTGGTATCGACCGGATTGAGAGATGTATGCGACCAAAATAGAAGGGGGGGTTGCGGAGAGTCACAAGACAACGTAAGGATGATTAATAAACTAGAAAGTACAGTAGCTAATGCGAGGCATCACGCCGGGAATTGTAAACTAAAGATAGCACCTTCACTCGAAGTGCATCTGCTAGTATATACATGGGGAGAAGACAAAAAATGAGCCTTCAGGTTAAACAATCTAGCGGAATATCGAGTGAGCTACTCATACTAAGTGGCTGGTGTCGGCAACTTGCCCCGCGTTGTTTGGGATGTCACCAAGACCGGAAGGCACCTCCGATGCATCAACTCCCAACCACCGACCTCAACTGACCAGCGCCTCCGACGTCGCTCACCTTTGCTAGCTGATCCCTAGTATTTCTTTAGACAGGTGAACAGCCAGGAGAAGCCCGGATCTTGTATTCTGCCACAGAAACAATATATACTTCCGTTCAGTCTGGGTCTGGTTACTCGACAGCATATTTGCATTCATACCTCCTCGAGTCCCTTCTCAAGACCAACAAATTGGCCGTCCTCATTCCATTTCACAATGCGTATCCTCGCTGAACCCGATGTTTCTCAGATCCTGCGCGAATTAAACCAGTCGCAATGCCACGACTTACTCAACGCTCTTTGCGACTCTCTCACCGCAGTCTCCAATGAATCGACTGCTCCAGAGACGGAACGCCTTATCCACCAGCCCCTTCGTAGCACCATCCTCACGAAGAAACAAAACCTCTCTCTTTTCATGCCCGTCTCCAACACCGCCAGCACGGGTATCAAGATTGTTACTTCCTCTCAGTCTCATGGCCTCATCGGAGTCATCAACATCTTCTCGCCCGAAGGTAGTCTACAGGGTCTCTTGAGCGCCGCCAAAATCACCGCTTTCCGCACAGCCCTGACCATCATGTCCCTCCTCGTTCGCTGCCAGGCCACGAGTAAGGAGAATGTGGTCATTCTCGGCTCTGGTCGCCAGGCGGAATGGCATGCTCGCTTAGTTCTCCTCTTGTTCCCAGGACAAGTACGTTCGATCACCATCCTGAACCGTGGTCGCAAACGCCTGGAAGAGTTGGAGACAGAGGTCTTGGGACAATTGCGGGCTACGTATCCGGATGTTGCGATCTCAACGGTCGCGAAAGATCATGTAGGCGACGACGTATGGGAGGAGAAGCTGCGGGCGGCACTGCAGACCTGCGATGTCTTGTTCAGTTGTACGCCTGCCACAGAGCCGAATTTCCCGGCTTCATATCTACAACCGTTCCGGCAACGGTTCATCTCGCTGATCGGCTCGTATAAGCCGCATATGCGGGAGATTGATACGGAGACATTGCTCTCTGGCGGTGGGAAAGTCTACGTGGACTTGAAGGAGGCGTGTTTGGAGGAGTCGGGCGAGTTGATTCTGGCCGAGGTGAAGGAAGAGCAGTTGATTGAAGTTGGTGAGTTGTATGGGAAGTTAGGTAGGGAAGTGCCGGTGGAGGTACCCCAGGGGTGCAATGTGGTATTTAAATGTGTGGGCATGGGGATAATGGATCTGGTCATCGGAAACAAGCTGTTGGATGTTGGACGGGAGAGGGGAATTGGCATGGAAGTAGATGGCTTTTGAAGCGATGGCGTGTTGACGGTGGAATTAGATATTGTGACCAAATGACTGGCTTGATCGTAATCAATCAGTTACTTGCAGACAATTCAACCCTTCTGTTTTGATAAAAGAACTGATTGGTGTAGAATTGCACTTATAGCTATGGCGGTATAAGTTAGTGCAAGATCATACTTGTGTTGATCATGGCTGGAGGTGACTGCTGGCTGGCTAGCCAGACTAACGCTGGGGGCGAAGCCAAACCCGCACCCACGGCTTATCAGTTCGACTTCTGGTTCCTTTCCCTCTCCCCCCCCCCTTGGAGAGGATGGATTAAACTCCGGGCCATTTTTTCCTATCTTCCGTCAACACCGCCTTCTCTTCCTTCGGGATCATCTCCTACTTTCCTACTCTTCCTACATACTTACCTCAGCTCTTACCCCCCCATTTCCCTCCGGGCTGTCGCTTTTACGCACCCCACATGTCTATGCTCTAATCCCTACCATGCGCCTGTCGCTGCATCGCCCTCCTTGATTTCGAACAGCCATGGATGAGGGCTCAACCACCCCTGCTGGTACGGGCCCGCAGAAACGACCCCGCGTTTCCGAGGAGAATCGCAAACGAGCCGTGCGAGCGTAAGACGATTATATTCTCCTGTCAGGGTCTTTGTCTCCTTACTCACAATAACCAATTTCTAGCTGTGATGGTTGTCGCCGAGTGAAGGAAAAATGCGAAGGAGGCGTTCCGTGTCGCCGATGTCTCCGCTATCAGCGACAATGCGTCTTTACTCATCCAGACCATGCGGAGAAGATCGCCCGTTCCTCCTCCATCTCGTAAGGCCACCCACCCCCCTCATCTTGAGTCTCAAATCTACGAACCTCGAATTCAATAATGGCAGAGACTAATACCGTTATTAATCTAGGCTACTCGAACGAAGCACAGCCCTCAGAGGACATGAGATCGCCGAGTCGGAGCGTGTCCGATGCATGGAGCGCATCCTCCAGCATTATGTCCCCAACATTTCCTTCGATGTCCATACTTTGCGAAAGATGGCCGAAGAGTTGAAACACAAACATCGAGGATCTGGCACAGAGGCATCTTCAACGCAGCTCGACGGCGAAGACCTGGAGGACCTGGCAATTGACGATGAGGATTTCACCATCAAGGCTCTGCCGGATAATACTACACGTGGGTGCTCTGGGATTGTTTCGGAATGTACTTGGGTGGTCTGACTCGTTCTTAGAATACTCCGGAGAATTTTCGTATCTCAACTTCTCTATGAAGATTCGACAAAAGATTGACGAATGGATGAAACATGCTGGACCAGAGGTATGCAAACTAGTGGTCGCCTGTCGGCGAATTACTCACTCACTTCTTCCCAGGCATCCACAGAGACAGAGCCATTTGAAGAGCGCTGGCGGGCAACCCAATTACAGTCCGGATCGACCCTAGTATCAACCTCGGTGACCTGTCTTCCACCTCGGTTTGTGGCAGACTTTCTGGTGCAGATCTTCTTTAAGTATGCGCAGACGAATAATTTCTACGTTGAAGAAGACTGGTTGAAGGATAAGCTAAACATATGCTACACGGACCCATCGAGCCTCTCTTCTAAGGATGCAGGCACGGTATGTGCTATCCTAATGGTATTAGCGGTGGGTACTCAGTTCGCACACATGGAATCGGCCACACCTGTCAACCGCCTGTCCTCCAATTCTGCCTTCGCCGACGACCACCACTTCTCCGAAGATGATGTCGGTCTTACCTTTTATCAATTTGCATCGAAACTGCTTCCCGACATCATTGCCACAGCTTCCGTTCGAAGCGTCCAGGCTTGTCTTTTGATCGGTACTTATCTTCTGCCGCTAGATACGTCGGGTCTATGCTATACGTATTTTGGTCTAGCCCTGAAGATGGCCATTCAAAATGGCATGCACCGAAAGTATTCGGGGGAGGGAATGTCACCTCGTATGGTGGAGATCCGCAATCGTGTCTTCTGGACGGCATACACGATCGAGAAGTAGGTGGCCAATCCAACGTTTCAGCTGCTTGATAGCTACTGACACTCTTTAGGCGCGTCAGCATTCTCCATGGGCGACCGGTATCGCTATCCGATGCGGACGTAGATGCTCCCTTTCCAACTGACTTTCCGGGCTTGACTCCTTCTGGACATTTAGCCAATGACATAAATATGGTGACGCTCATCAAGTTGACCTTGAAACTTGGCCAAGTTGCCAACGAGATGTACGTGGCGAGGTATCCTAGGATCTTACATATAGCTAACATAGAGTCAGATCTATTCTCCGTAAATCGCGAAAGAACCAACAATCGGATTGTCTCGAACGATTACTGAACCTTCGGAAATGCTTGGTTGATTGGTGGTCAACGTTGCCGGAAGAAACTAATTGCCGGGATCTCAATCCGTCTGGTCCTCTCTTTCGCTCCAATGTGCATCTCAAGCTGGATTATTGTCTGACTCGGATCTTCCTTGGACGGCCCTTCCTGTTTAGCAGCATGAAAGCCATTACGGTCCCGGGCGCCCCGGTCAAGACGCCTTCGGGTCTATCGAAGAATCGCTCCACACTAGTCACTGACTGCGTGGAAGCAGCGCTTGAGATCATCGACCTATGCCGTTTGCTGCGGGATGAGCCTGGTCTCGCCCGTGCTTCATTCACCGAGTTCAGTTCCTGCCGTGCTGCTCTTCTTGTCATTCTTGCCCAGAGCTTGACCAAACGCACAGAGCGGTTGCGTGAGGCCCTCGATAAAGGCATGGCCCTCATCAAGATTATGTCGATGGGTGTCGGATCTGCCCGATCCGCTGTGAGTGTCATTGAAACACTTGAGCGGGCAATTCGTCGCTTTGAGGAGTACAGTCAGACGCAACCCCAAGGCACTGCTGGCATGATGGAGTCGGCCTATGACCGCTTCAAGAACTGGGAAATGCTTTGGAAGACGGGACCAATCTCTCCCGACCCAATATCGTTCCCTGAGCAGTACCCATCCGGTGGTGGTGGACTGCCGCCTGTGATGACACCTATGACAGGTCCACCACCAATGAATGAACCGGCAGAAGGGGAGCTTGCCAACCCCAGTATCCCTGACTCGACCGAGTTCTCTGTGTCTCATCCGCTGTCGGAGATGCCGCACTTCGGGCTTGATCATTTCGTTGCAAACTTGCCACAGGAATTGGGCGAATTCACCGCGATTCCATGCTTCGAGACCGACAATCAGTCCAGCTTGACCGGGGAGTTGAAACCCGGGTCTTCCGACACGCGGTGGATGAATTTTATGAATGAATAGTGTTACCGACAACCGACCGGTCTTTTGTGATTTTGACAGCGCTGCATTATTGGGGTCCTTGCTTGGCGGTTGTACTGCCATGAATCTGTTTTAAGATACCTAGATCGTGTATATTCACTGGTCCGTCTAGACACTTCGTCTACATAACATATATCAGAAGGTCCATCCTAGATGGTTGCAAATGGCTAGAATTCAAGCTGAAATATATACATGCTAAGACTGGGATGTCTAATCGAACACAACCTTCTTACCCGCAAACGAAGCCGTAGCCTTCTGTTCCTTGGCCTTCTTTGCTGCCTCCCAGGATGGATGCAAGGGCTTATCATCCTGTGGCTTCTTGGGGGGTGCTCGCTGAGGCCGACCACCATCGTGCTGCGGCCGGCCGGACGCGGAACCTGCACCATTACCGAACCTCCCTCTGCCAATGGGAGTAGAATTGCCGTCTGTCGCTCCCTTTCGCGGATCCCAACCACCATCTCTCCCTTTCCGGCCTTTCTGTTGTTGTTGCTTGACATGGTTTGCTCCCGCACCATATTTCTTCTCCCACAGCGCCCGACGCGCCTGTTGACCCATCCGGTTCTTGCGTCGGGGTGGTTCAGCGGCTTCTTTGTCGACATCCTCGGCTTCAGACTCGGACCCCGACCAGTATCCGCCCATCATGAGGGAGGGCAAGAAGGTAGTGCTGGTCGCGGGCTTTGCGGTGCCTTTTTGGGCTGGTTTGGCCTTCTTTGAGGGGGGCGAATCGGATTCTTCTTCTTCGTCTACCTCTGGGGAGGGAGAGCGCGAGATTGACATATCAGAGGGGGGTCTTCGCTGTAACATGCGAGTATCAATGTCGTCCTCGTCCTCGTCCTCCTCATCGTCCTCATCGTGATCGTCACCGTCGCCAAGCATCTGCCGCCGGGTCTCTTCCGCGTCGTCCGCGTCTTCATCTTCAGAGCCCGACGCGAGTAACCCATCGTACATCGCGTAGTCAACGCTCTCCGAATCGTCCATACTGACATCTCCGTCGCCCTCCGCACTCGCGCGCTGCGCTCGTGACCGGCCCTCCTCTACCTCGCTATCCGAAACCTCGTCCGCAGCAATCGTTTTCCTCGGCTTCTCGTCCTTCTTTGTCTTCTTCTTCTCAGCCGTCGCCTTCGCCGGCGCAGGCTTCGTCTCATCGATCTTCAACAACGACCGGATCCCGTCCATAATCCCCGGGAACACATTCTTGACCGGCGTCGACTTGTACAAGCGGGCCGTTACGTTGGCCTCGAAATTACTCTTCGGTCCCTCCGCCGACAACTTGCTGCCCATGTGTTCCTGGAACTCCTTAAAAGTCGGCGACTCGGCGATCCGTTTCGTTTTGAGGAGTTGTTTGTAGAGGTATTTCTGCGCTGTTTTAACGGGGTCCAGGTCCTATGTGTAAAAAAGTTTCAACATTAACATCGCAGACAAAACAACAAAACACGATCGCGGAAAGGGAGTCCACAACAAAGACCAAGATCCCCCGCCTAGCATGGAGACCCGGAACGACAGCAGCAGCAGGAATAGTACATACCCTCAAAATCCCCGCCTCCTCAGCCATCCTCTCCACCGCGCCCTCCTTCCCCTCCTCCTTGACCTTCTTCTCCCGCCGCTTCCACTTCTGGCGCTCGAACCCGCGCGCCAGCTTTAGCGCCTTGGCCAGCGACTCGACGCCCTGGGAGAATTTTTGCTTGAGCCGGACGGTCTGGATGTGCAGGGAGCGGGCGTCGGATTTATCGGTGGAGACATTATTGTCCGTGAGGTCGGAGAGTTTGCGTTTGGGCATTTTTTTGGTTGCGAATATCGTTT